ATCTTGGTGGGTTTTCCCAAACATCCAAGTTTGTTTTGTGTTGCTGTTTTCTTATATGGAGTGCCAATTCTTCATATTTTAAATATCTTTTTAATGAAAACCTCAGGAATTAGAATCATCCCGGTATTACTGCAGACTGATACATGTATATTTAGCATCGACTGAAAAGGCCTAAAACCCTTCCTAGGAGAGTTATGAGGTATAACTTTATTGTGGCATAGCAGGAATTAATTTGGAAGGACCGAGTTATCAGAAGGGGTTCAAAAGTTTGTTTTCCCTGAGCCTTTTTATTCTTTGTGTGTGTTGCCTGTTAGAACTGAAGATAATTTTCTGCGTCCCTGCCTTTCACCTTTTTGTACTGACATTGTATAATATGCTTGCACTATTTCCCTGGGCAAACCAAGCATGTAAGAAAAAAATTGAAGCTTCTTTTTTATATATAAAAGCACTGTATTACTTCTGTATATAGAAAGACTAATGGCAACACAGAACTTGAAATTCTATCTTATGTATAAAAGCATGCACTGAATTACTTGTATGTAGAACATGCTGTAAATGCTGCAGAGTACTGTAAGATCCTACACTTGAAATCACAAATAACAAGCAACTTCATCTTTTAAAACAAAACAAGAAACAAAAAAAACGAAGCTGTGCAAGGGATTTTGTGCCTTTTTTAAATCCATGTATGTTAATCCAGACAATCGGGAAAAAAGCTTGTATACTACCAAAACCTTATTAAAGAATCAAAGGCATAACTTGTGGCAGTGTTTTTTTTTTAATCTCATTTTTCACTGGACCATCGCTCTTCTTGTAATGTAAACTTCAAATCCAAATGCAAACTCTCCTTACCTGGCATTATCATTGTGGAGGATTTTTATTAGTGAAAGCGGGGGATACATTTTAGATTTAATAGAGAGAAGGATACATCCTGCTCTACTATCCTAAAAGTTACATCTTATATATTAGCATAAGAGGATATATTTTCTTGAACGTCCTTCTTTAGACTCCGTATTATGATTTTGCTAATGTGTTCTCCCTCATTTCTCTGACTTCCTATTAGGCCTTGGGATAGAAAGAAACCAGTGTAGAAACGTGTCAGCCTAAAAAAACCAATTAATGGTTTGATGCTTGTGGAGTTAGCCAATCTTTTTAAATGGGGAGGGCAATGAAATATAATACTGACTAAGGCAGTGGTGAAGAGAACAACAACCACTAAGCATGCCAGGGCATCAAGATCAATTGTAGCAGGAAAACACATTGTGTGGGCTGACCAGACATGATACACTAGCTAAAGGTAAAATGCATAAATGCAGCATTGATGCATAAATGAAGCTTGATTCCTGGCAATGACACTGACATGGTCAGGTCATTTAGAGGTGATTTTATACTGGCTTCATCTCAGATGTCTTTTCAGTTTTCAGTCTTGATGATATACTTGGTGTTTCCTATTTGGGCACTAAACAGATACAGTCTGCTTTTGGAAATCAGATAAGATCAACTATACAGACTTGCTGTACTTACACAATTTTATGAGCAATATTTCCTCAAGTGTGGATAAAGGTGTATGCTGGTTTTTCAAAGATCAAATGTTTGAAAACAGAAATCTGCTAAGTGTTGAGTGTAGACTCAACTATAATGCAGCTTCGCTTATTTTTGTGAAGGTTTTTCCAGAATTTAGTAGAATAGCACTGCCCTGCATAAATGTTTCTAGTAATTTCCTGGTTTGTTATTTTGGCATTCCTCTGCTGTAATTTTTTTCTTCAAAAAATGACATCTCTGCCACTTCCCTCTCCCCAATTTTTACAGGAGTATCCAAATGGAATTGAAGACTCTTAATTTCTACTAACTGCTAACTTCTAATACATCAGGTGTTTTTAATGCTGAAAAAGCTGCAGGTCCAAACTCAGTTGTCAGTACTATTGTAAATATTGCTAGTAAATTATAATGGATAAATGATATTTATCTTTTTAACCCAGAAAAAAGGAGAAAAACTAATTATCACCTAACTCTAAAGTAAATATCATATCCATCCAAATCTTTTATATAACAGTTTTAAAAATAAATTTTAAGATATGGTTTAATTCTATAATCAATTTGTTTGACATGAAAAGAGGAATCAAAATACAATTTTTGGAAATAGTATACCACAGTTTTTTAACTGATGGTGACAGGAGGTATATTTGTTATAGTTTAACCCAAAGCTATGTAATGAACAAAAACTTCTGTATAAGAATATTCCAAAAGGGTGCAGTGGTGGTATTCCATTTTTTTTACTACCGGTTCTGTGGGCATGGCTTGGTGGGCTTGGGTGTGGCATAGCTTGGTGGGTGTGGCAGGGGAAGGATACTGTAAGATCTACATTTCCATCCCACTCCAGGTGAAGGATACTGTAAAATCCCCATTCCTTCCCCACCCCACTAACCTGCTTTCCAGCTCCGTTCTCCTGTGCAGGGCAACAAAAGAAGACCCAGTCGATCAGCTGGGACTCCGATCAGCTGGGACTCAGGAGGCAGAGAATAGATGGGGGCGGGTCAACCAGAGGTGGTATTTACCGGTTCTTCAGACTACTCAAAATTTCTGCTACCGGTTCTCTAGAACCTGTCAGAACTGGCTGAATACCACCTCTGATGCATACATTAAATGTATTTATACATTAAAAACATGATAAACCAACACAGAATATATTGCTGGGAATAAAAAAAATTTTTTTTAAAGAATATATTGTTGGGTTCCACTCTGTTATTATACATACATACATACATACATACATACATACAAAAAAACAAACAAACAAACAAACAAACATCCTTTTCTATACAAATGGAATCCAATAAATTCTAGATATTATTTTCTCCCTTTTTATAACCTTGTAATCCCTTAATTTAGGATAGAGTTGAGGTGACCGGATGGAGCTGAATATTGATTGGCCAGATGCCCTTCCTGACACCACACAGGGCTCACAGCAGATATTTTCTCTTTGCATCCTAAGAGAGAAACATCTGCCATTACCTAGGATCAAACTCTCAGCCTTCCAGGTGGGAAGGAAGCATCTTCATCACTAGCCACCACACTGTTCTTATTGTATTATTGTATAAATCATAGTTTAAGATCCACTGACACGATAGAAGTTAAGACACTCTTCCATTGTTTATGTAATATAGGAATTTAATTCTTTATTTCATTCATCTCTTAACATCTTTATATCAAGTGGATTTATTGATAACAAATGTCTATAGAAACTAATAGGTATTTTAGTTTTAAAAGATTTAACCATTTGTTCCAGTAATTTGGATGTCTTAGAAGTTGAAAATGTTTCTGGTACAAACAATGTTGTTAACAAATGTTGCAGCTGTAAATATTGCCACTGAGTTACATGGTCTGATAGATGAAATTTATCTCTTAGCACAGTGTATGTTAAAAATAAATCCTCATCATTATCAATTGGTCCAAAGTCAATATTCTCCCTTTCATCCAATTTTTCTGCATCACCATCTTCTTCCCAATTTTTAATGTCAGATTTTCCCTTAGAGTCATGAGAAAAAGGATAACATATTTTTAGACATTCCATTCCATATCTTCCTGATATAATTGTTTCTAGGGATATTAGAATTCTATTTAAATCCTAAAACTGTCCATATATTAGATCTAACCAAAGGTGTTATATATCTATATTCCAAAACATTCATATCTGCTATATGCATTAATATGATCAATTCACCTCCTTTGGATGATGCCTGATTTATCAAATACTCAGAGCTGCTGAAGTGACATTTCACTAATATAACATGAAAAGTATAACTGAAGCCCTTCTTGGAGCATATGCAATGCAGGGCACACTTTCTTAAAATTTTATCGAAAGTAGCTGTTAAAATTTTCTGGCATTAATTTCACAGAAATATATCACCTGTACATGCAAAAGCACAGATGATCACTTGAAGAATCACAGTTACATTAAGCAATTTTTATTACTGTCTAATTGATGCTTAGCGAACTGTACAGCAATCTAGTCTTATTTCCTATGTAACATTTGCTTCCGACTCATTTCATGAGATATTTGTCAATTTTCAGATAGTTTTTTTTAAAAAACAGAAGGATTTCCACTTCAAAATAATGTCATATATGTTTCTCCTATCCCTGAACATCTCTGATTTTTTTCTACAGTTTTCCTTTTATTAAATGACCTCCTGCTACTGTGTGTTGCTAGAAACCATATAATGTTTATCTTCGCTGTGTATATTCTCTTTTTAACTGGTTTTCTTTCTGTTCCAGTTACGTTTTTCTTGTTTACAGGATGACCCATGGGTTTGCTAGGGGTATTTACTGAATAATAACCTTTTGCATTGTTACCTCTTAGGAGTGTTAATCAGACATCACACTAGTAGGAGGTAAAGGGCAAGTTTTGTTTTTAGCAGCAGCAGCATCGGATCAGTGGGAGGCGGTTGTCTCTCCTTCCTTCCTATATGTATTAGATCTGGATACTGAAGATGGAATACTGAAAAAGAATGAGGGGGAATTCTACCAACTGTTCTTCAGGCATCCCAGTAGATACCCTTGGGCTTTAAAGCAGGGTATTAATTAATATCATGTGGTAAGGGATTTGTGAATACAGATTTTTCCCCCCCCTGCAAAATCTTTCTTCAAACATAACTTCATTAATTCCTTTATTTAACAAAACTAGGAAGGGGCATCCTGTGATTCTTGGTCTCTGCATAATTTTGAAAACCATGCATAAGTAACATTCACATCGAAGGAAAATGTTTCTCCCTCAGAGAGAGAAAGATATAAGACCAAAAAGGGATGAAAGGAGACAAGTCCTTCTACTTTCCACTCTGATTCTACTTGCTGCCGAGTGCCAAACAGATGCTGTTCCCCCCGCCCCCAAGTGGTGTGAAGCTGACAGGAAAGGGTCCCCAGCTCTTGGCTAATTTCAGATATTACAACATTGCTTATAGAGTTTTAACATTCTGGATAACCAACTATTTTTGTATGTCTTTTTCCAGGTATTCCAACTGAAACCTTTTGAAATGAATGGTCTCCCCAGGGTGGTGCCTTTAAATTTGCCTTGCCAAGATTTCAAAAGGGATGTATCAGAAAATAGGGAAAGATCCAAAATTCTCCAACGAATAAAAAAAGTGGATTTCTCAAATGTTGTCTTAACTTCCCCTTGTAAACCACCTAATGCTCATCTTCAGCTGGCAAATGGAAGATACAAAGAAAAAAAGGAGGAAAAAGAAGAAGAGGAAGAGGATGATGATGAAGAACTTGATAATTTAGGGGAAGAACTTGATATGCGGAGTGATTCAAGCAGTGATGTTAGTCAAAAAAGTACTGAGCGTAGTCAGGAAGGTGCTCCATCCACTCTTTTAGCAGATGACCAGAAGGAATCCAAGGGTCGAGCATCAGCTGCAGAAGGAGACCTGGAACTTGAGGAAGGCTCGAAAACATTAGTTCTCTTTTCACCAGGTGACCTGAAAAAGTCTCCTGTGAATACAGACTTGGCTCCTGATATTGATCTTGGAACTCTTGCTGCACTGACTCCTCAAAGTGAGAAACCACAGCCTATGGGAAGCCAGCTCGATGTATCTGAGCCAGGGACTTTGTCTTCCATCCTTAAGTCCGAACCAAAGCCTCCTATGTCCGTGGCCGCAACCTCCTCCCCTTTTACTAAAGTTGAACGCACGTTTGTCCATATTGCCGAAAAGACACATCTAAACATCATGTCTTCCAGTGGCCAGCTTATGAGGCATGAGGAATACTCTAATGCAGGGCAATTTGAAGAGATAATCATTGAGGAAGAATTAGAGGAAAATCAGGTACTGATAGAAAATGGGAGTGTGAATTCAGCGTTGGAAGGGGGAGAAATGGAAAGTTGTGCTTTCTCAGTGAATCATATTGAAACCACCTCTGAAGCTGCAGGGGAACTGGTATTCCTGAATGGTGTTAAAATGGGAGAAGGGGAGGAGCTAGAACTTAAGGGCAAATTTATTCCCGAGTCAGATGTGGAAGAAGATAGTAAGTTGATTTCAGAAGAACCTGGCCTTGATAATAAAACCCTTGCAAATGAATCCCTTAGACAACCAGAGTTGCTTCCACATATTCTAGCAGAAACTTCCAAAAAGCCACTGAATGTAAGGTATAGAAGCCGGATTCCTGTCTTGCTGTCTGAAGAAGACACTGGATCAGATGTTTCAGCTTCACACTCCGGCAAAGAAAGGCTATACAAGAGACTGAAACAGCAGGATTTGGCTCGGCTGGTGATGGAGAAAAGGCAAAGCCACCTGTTCAGGTTAGCTTCCGGAGCTTCATCTTCTGCTTCCTCTAGCGATGAGAGGCAGCGGGCTTCAGAAACCTTGTCAGCCACTGGTTCTGAGGAAGATACTCATGATTCCGATGATTTCACCCCAAGGAAGATTGGAAATCAGGAGAGAATTTCCCTGGTAAAGATGGAGGAGAGAAGTTTTAATATAAGGAGCAGAATCCCTCGCCCCATTGTTCCTGTAAAACCACCTGCGATAGAACTAAAATATGGGAGCCCTTCAGCCCTTCCACCAGCAGCACCAAGTAGAAGTACCGGTGATGCAGCTGGGTCCGTAAGGTATGTAGTATTACTTTCTGATTCAGCAAGCAGTTGGATTTACAGTTACTTTTGCCCTTGCTATCTCCTCAGCTCCTTCTTTATATTTACCCAGCCTATCCACTAGACCAGGGGTAGTCAACCTTTTTATACCTACCGCCCACTTTTGTATCTCTGTTAGTAGTAAAATTTTCTCTAACCACCCACCAGTTCCACAGTAATGGTGATTTATAAAGTAGGGGACAAAACCCCTACCATCCACCATGAAAGCTGGAACGCCCACTAGTGGGCGGTAGGGACCAGGTTGACTACCAACTGCGCTAGACTGTAATCAACCATTTTTTCCCAGATTGATCTTGCTATGCTGTTAGACAACAATTTTAAAATAGGGTGCCTACAAAGCCTTCCCCAATATCCCATGGCTTTGCTTTCAAAATTAGATGGAAGTTGGTATTTTTGCATTTAAAAGAGATTCCATTGGGGTCAAGGAAACTTTTTCAAACCCGATTGGAACACAATAAAATTCTTTGGGAGTATTTAGAAATAAAAGATATAAAAAAGGACATTTTAGGCAGGAATCACAACTGAAGGAGTAAGCCTATTTTATGCCCTCTTAGTTTAGTATTCCCTACTGGAGATTTTTTTCAAGCTTAACATTGTATACTAGAAGTTCCTATATATAAGGTTGTGGGTAACAATTCCAATATATGTATCAACTGTCTATGACTTTTATTATCTTAGTTGAAGTACGTAGCTGCATCTACATTCTCTAATGTTTACTTTCCTTACAGGTAGTCCTCAACTTACAACTGGTCATTTAACTACCAGTTGAAGTTATTATAGCCTCAGATGGGATGTTTTACATCCTATAAAAATGTCATAGTACATCCACTCCTAATCACATGACCACAATTCAGGTACTTGGCAACCTTTTCACAATTATGATCAGCTTCCAAGCACCCTGCGATCATGTGATTACCATTTACAATCTTTTCTATTGGCATTCCCTGAAAGTCAATGGGGAAGCCTGCAGGGAAGGTTGCAAGTTGTTGCTGCCTGCTGAGAGGACTCCCTCTTATCTTCGGGGACTGTCTGCCAAATGGAGCTCAGCCCCTTTGCTCCTCGTAGAAACAGAAACCCATTTCTTGTGCATTTAATGTGTAACCTGTCTTTCTTCCAAATAATATATATTGTACAAGGCAGAGAATTAGAAAATAAATGCAGAATATCATTTAAATACTTCAATAAAAGAAACCAGTATCTTAAACAGAATTTCTCTACCTTTAAATGCTCAGTATGTAGTGTTTGCTTCTTTAACAGAAGTGGCTTCTGTGCTTGGTTTATGTGACTTTCAGCAAAGATGATGCTGTTCCTTCAAAAACATAACCTGCATCTCACCTCTACCATGCAAATAACATCTTGGCTGAAGCAAACACTGCATAAACATGTCCAAATATGGGTATCCATAGAGAAGGCAAGAATGACAAAATATACATAACCCTGTCACAGTGCAAATGTGAGTCACACACTAACAATAGACATTAGGACTCAAAACTACCCTAGTATTTTTTGTATTTGCAGAATGACATCTCAGCATGCATTTTGCTATTTTGATATCACTTTGAATGCTGCCATGTCAGATGTGTAGGGGCTCTTTTGTTGAAGGAGAAAGAAGCATACAATTGTGCATCAGGGAATGGGTACGTTGTTCAACTCCCCCAAAACATATGATGAAAGTGATAGCCTTGCTATCCTACCATATGAAGTTGGTATTGATATGCAAAAACAATGCACTAAGACTTAGTTATAAAGTCCTGTGACTGAGTATGTTGATAGTCGAACTTGGCGTCTTCTTTGTTGTGGCATGTGGTAGCACTTGGCCGCCATATGTTTCCTTTTTAACCTGTTACAGACTATTAGTTTCTATCATATGTTGTAAAGTTTTAGAGTAAGATAACTGTGGTGACCTGGTTACAAAAAAAATAAAAATAAATTGTGCTTTCTCCTTCTTTGCTTCTTACAGGATTCAGGGGCAAAGGCCATTTGGGAATATAGCCGGTGATCCTCGGATGAAAGCAACCCCAACTCCTGCTACCCATTCCTTGAAGAGCAGCCCAAGGAAAGCCCCCCATCTTCCAGCTAGAAGCCCCGTTCTCCCTCCACGAAACCTCAGTGCTTCTCCCAAAAGCCAATCCCTATCCAGAAAGGAAAGCCCGTCACCATCTCGACCACATAGGCCTGGGACTACATTTCCTCCATGGGCTCAGTCTTCTCCCAAAGCATCATCCAGGGCTCAGGCTATAGGCCTATTGGGAGATATTCCTGTGTCACCAGGTATGCTCAGAAAAGGACCAAAAGGGAAAACCCATACTCCAGGAACCAAAGGAAAACAGGTATTCCAAGAAGGCAAGTCTTCTGCTAGATAATGATCTGCTGCTGCCAGTCCATTAGGCCTACCGACCTACCATCTTGCCAGGCTGGAAAAACCTTTGCATATAATATACACTTGAGATGCCGCAGCACAGCCTTATGTGTCGGAAATATATGCATATAGCAGCTAGTTGTACTTCAGTGCTTCACTTGCCCACACATGCCCATGCTGTCTCAATCCCAGCTCTCTATCTGGCTGAGAGCCTCCTGGCCAGCTCATGCTTGCTTTTGCCAGTCACCAAGCAACAGCTCAGGCAGCCTGTCTAGTGCCTGATATTCTTTCCTTCATCCTCATTTCTTTAGTTTCTCGGTTGGCAATACCACAGAACCCTGAGAGATTGCTAGGAGAGATGGCTTTGTGTGGCACACACCAGCCCCAGTCAATGGAGAAATTAAAGGGCTGCACAGAACCTGAAAGAGAAATCTTGGTGTGAGCTTCTCGGTGGTCTAGATGTATTGATGTCCCTGTTTGGCACCCGCTCTCTCTCTCTCTGAGCCTGCTTTTGTGTAGCTCTGGTGATGCTGGTGTATTGATAGAAAGAAAGTCACAATCAGACCCCTCAATTGCTATCCTGCCAATAGTTGTATGAAGAGTCAATAGCAGCCAAGGGGAGATGAGCTGCATCCTTTGCAGCTTCTTTTGGATGCATAGCATCTTTTAGCAGCCGTCCTGAGAAGGCTGCTAAAGAGAAGTGTTAAGTTTATTGAGCGACCCTGTTGCAGGGTGCTCTGAAGTAGAGAGGCATCAGTTATTTCCCCCCCTTGGCAGTGTGCCCATAAACTAAGATCCACCAGAAGTAGTGTTTTGTGTAAAGGCAGCAGTGAAAGCTTCTCAGGGAGCTCTACATGGTCTCTTTATTGGTAAAAACAGTGCAAAAGTGCAAGGAAAAGAGTTAAAGCCTAAATAATGACGTAGGCAACCAATAGGGCTCCACTGTATTTTTCAGAATCCAAATATAAGGCATTTTAAAACATGGACTGCCTTTCCTTCTGGGATATGTTGGACATGCAGTTTTATTTTTTTAAAAAAAAAAAACACAGGCTTTCCATTTCTAAATGCCTTGCAATGATAGTACCTGCTTATTTTAGAAATCCAGCTGCCAGATGATCATTGGTGTTTGCCACCTCTCAAATTATTTGGTTTTCAACCTGGCGCTTGATAAATCTTGATAAAGCTTTTGAAGCTGGCTAATTTGGAAGGGGGATTTATGGTACCCCTCCCTTCTGTGCTCTGGCCTGAAAAGTTATATGAACTTGCCATTATGATCAGGAAATACATTATAACTAAGTACTTATATCTAAGAATCTAGCTTTAGATATGGAGACTTGCAAAAAAAAAAGGAAATGTGTGAATGCTTGCCTCTTGTAATTGTACTGAATAATATTCTCCCCACCATCTATGTGAATCTATAAATCGCAATGATAGAAAGTAAGAAATGGAGGATTTGAGCAGATCAAGCCAATTTATTGTTAGTTCTAGATACCCTTTTCTTGTTTTCTTTTCACCCCACAATTGTCAAGCAGAGTTATATGAAATATGAATGGAGCTTGTTTCCTTCATTCACATCTTTAAATTAATTTTGGTTGCTATGTAAACTTAATAAAATGACACCTGCAACTTCTTAGTAAGTGATAGATTCTGGCTATTTAATATTACTACTTTTCCTGGTGGGAATTCAGAACTGGTTGATTATTAAAGGAAAATATCTGTGATAATTATTTTATCAATAGATATTCAAGGCCCAAGATTACCCATGAATGTTCTTGCATCAAAGAGATGTTGGCTATTTTTTATATTGTATTTGAAGATGATCTTTAAAAAAGATAATACACTGTTAATCTCATGCCCATCTTTTCAACAGAGGATAATTATGAGAATGTCTAGAATACACTATTTAATCAATAGCATGGTTGTTATGACATACACCTGAGAAAACATGGGGCTTGTGGTTCTATGAGAGGATTGTTAAAATTTAGAGTAGAATTCTAGGACAGGGCTAAGAGCAATATAAGTCACAAGTCTTTGTTTTGGAAATATCATGTTGATGAAACAACAAAGAAATAACAATAGAAACAGCCCAGATTAGTTTTTTGGGTACATTTACATCAGTTGGGACTACAGTGTGATTTTAGTTGAGACACAATTGCAATGAGTTTTTGATAAGAAACACTCTGATTTTACAATATTTCTTCCCTTTATAATATATATCTACGTTTTTCCTTTTTCCTCATAACCTCCAGACTTTTCTGTTATGCAGGTCTAGGAACCCATAGTATGCAAGATCCTCCCAGTCATACTTCAGGCTATTCCTAGCTTCCAAGGCCATAACGGTGATATAGTTTGAAAAGTTCTTTGCTTTTTTATTTTTGAATAATTTCTGGTTTTTATTTCTTTGTTTGTTTAAAAGTTTACACAAATAATTTTATCCTCCCCATTCCTTTCATTATCTTTTCCACCTGCTCTCATTATTTCTTCAGTCCTCCACTAGATATTCTCCACATCGTAGTGGAAAGGGGCTGAGTTTCATGGCAGAGCACATGTCTTGCATATAGATAGGCTCAATTTACTTGAATGAAGTTTTTTTATTTGAATGTATTTGAAATACAGAAAATAGTAAGACCCCCTGACTGGGACCCTGCATGGCCCCTGTAAATTTAGATGAATAATAATGCTACATGGACAAATGATCTTATTTGCAGGATGCCTAGATATGTCTGAAAAACAGGAAGGTAGAAAGCATCTAGTGATCCATAAGAACATCTAATCTAACCTGGTTCTTATCCTTGGTAATAAACAAGACTGCCTTAGAATCTGGCCAAACTCTGCCAGTTGGGAACCACTGACAGGAGCTGAATTGGTGGATTTCATCCAGGATTTGAGGGGACAATTATAAATAATATTTCTGTAGTCATGAGTAGCCCCCTTTGAGATGTAGGAGCATAAAAATTACAAGGTTTATGTTGATAGAATTTATTATTCTGACAGCTATTTGAGTTTAATATTATTGAATATCTCATGTAAATATTGGGATTTATATCTGAAGAGAAGACTAGACCCTTTCATTGAGCTTGGCCATATTGTTCTCCAAGGACATTATTAGGCATGGAACATCTTGGCCTATTCAATCCTAGACCTCACGTATAAAATAGGGATGTGCCCATACCATTAGAAGATAGCTGTCAATCATCTTGATAATCCTTTGTGCTGGGTAGTAAAAAAGTAAAAAGTGGGAAGCTTACTGGGGCAATCTACAACATTGATTGATTACTTCAAGAGCCTCACTGCTTTAGACCTTTGTTTTTATATAAGCAAAGGATGATGGGGCAAGATATCATGACCCTCTTTTTATGTTTATTTGGTTTTTTCAAAAAAAACATGTTTATATATTGGCTTCACTCACAGATTGTGCTAAGTCATAATATGGTTTGCTTGTTTGGGTTATTTCTGTGAACCCAGCCTCTAAGGACAGTAAACAATCATTTATTGTTTAGCACAATATATGAAACCAGCCAACTGATATATGCACTCATTAATCTGTGGTTTATTAAATAAAACATGAACCCTTTCCCATAAATTCAGAAGCCTGGATATTATTCAGGAAAAATGAATAGTATAAACTACTCTGCGCCAGCTAATTCTTGTCTCAAAATCAAGATGCTATTTAAACATTAGGTATAAATTTGAGCACAAGTCTGAGCAAAGGAGGCTTTTCCCTTCCCCTTCTGGTCTGTTTTTCAGAGTGTTATCCCTGTGATTTTTTTTTGACCATAGGAGAAATGGGATGTGGGGTATAGAAGGTTTCTATATATGTTCCTGATTCCAGTAAGAAAAATGGTTCAAAAACAGAATTAACAGTCTTTCTTGCCTCATTCTTCCTCCTCCTCTTCCTTCTCCCCCTCCTCAGTACCCCAAATGTGGAAAAGGAAAGAAAGACCTGCATATTATTTTTTGCTTGAACCAGTGGCTATAACTTCTTGGACGTAGAACATTTTGACATATTATGTACTAGACCTCACGATGTAGGAGGCAGGGAGGCATTCATTCTACTCATACACAACCACAATTCTGCCCTGCCCTTCTCCATGCAATGTGATAATAATATTACTTTCTGGTTTAATCCAGAATTAGTATTATTCTGTCTAGAGATGCCCGTGGTCAAGCATTGCTCATTGTAAATGAAATAGTTACTCTTTAGGAGACCTAAATTATTTTAATTGGGTGATATGTGATAAGCAGATTTATTCTATTGGTATACAACACTAATTCTTAAATATGTCATATATCAGTGTATATGTATAGCAATACTGGAAGAGCAAGAAAGTCTTAGTCTGCTCTCCAAATAGTTATTAGTGTTGGGCACAAACATGTTATACCTCTTGATACATAAAAAGAAACAAAGTACAGAATCAATAGCATGTACTGTATGCTGTAAATATAATTATCATGCAGGATGAGGAACTGTAGGAATCAATATTCCTCTAAGACATTTGTACATATTTACCTGAATATGTATCAAGCATAAGTGTTGATCATGAGCAGAAAAAAGGCAGCATAGGGACAAATAATATTACTTTAATTCTCAAGAAATAATATTGCTGTCGTAGCAGCAAGCCTGAACTGAATGACACTTTAAGTCCTTGGTGGTGACTGAGACAGCTGTGAACCCTAGTGGAATGAGTGCTTTGTTATAGAAATCCAAATAATATTCCCTCAGGACTATGATCAAAACTCCAGGCCAAAAACGAGATTTCATGGTTTGCTAGTTGCTCTTGTTACCTATGGTGCCATGCTATACAGTAAGCAAGCATCACTCTAAAGTCAAAAAGCACTTATATGTCTTCTTAGAGTTACAGATTGTTATATCTACTTCATTGTGTTCTTTAAATCCTGAATACTGTTTTTATGTCCTCAAGAATTCATAGTTCCTTCATATTTCCTTTTTATAGCATTTTGCTTATAATTGCTGACTCTGATTTTTTTTTGCCCAGAAGTCGAACAAATGAGACAGCTCCAATTAATCTATTTCCTTAGCATCACAGTACATTATGCATTCACCCCATTCATTTTTCAGAGCTAGTCCAATGATATTAATTACAGAGGACAAGCTGTGATTATTGCTCCTAAGTACCTGTATTTCAGACCTGTTGATTGATGCTACACTTTTCTATTACATTTATAATAAATTAAATTGGTGTATTAACTGGGGATGGTGTGATCCCTGTTAATGTTATCTACACAGGTTTATAGTGCAGCCTCAGTTTTTACACTATTTCTAACCTGGCTTTTGGGAGCAAGCCTTTGCCAGGTAATTTATATTAGAAATGCATGTTTTTTTAAAAAATGAACAGATATAATAGATCAAACATGCATACAGGAATAATTCCGGGATTAATAAAGTGATTGGCAGGTTTTTTTAAAAAACAATCTTTATGCCCTCCTCAGTTCCTCAAACCATCTCCAGCTCCCAAACCTATTTCTGTCTTTTCTTTCTAATTATTCAGTGAGAGCAGCAGGAACAGAAATTATCTCTCTTGCTATACTTGCTCACTTCCTTTCCTGTTGTTGCTAATTAAAAATTGGGAGTGTCTTCTGTAGATTCAGTTGAGATGATTTTTGGGAGTCAAGAAGGGAAATAGAATTGGGACAGGGGGAGAGGGGAATTCAGGAAATGTGTGCTAAAAGATGAGTAAGTAAAGTAAAAGGACTTTGAAAACAAGTCTGTCTGAGGAGGCTTTCGGACTTCAGCACCTCCACGGACCTCACATTTTTACTGTATAACCCAGTCAGGTCTTTGCCATTTTATTATTGTGTGAGTCAGCATGAACAATAAGGCTAGAATTGGTGGAGGCATTATCCGACTAAGAGTAGCATCTTTAATATGCTGCTTGCTTTAATGCCCCAGTCATCTGATTATGAACTCATTCTTCCCATCTATTTCAACACAGCGACATTAAGAACAACTTTGTGTCCTAGGAAGACCTTGTGAGAATTAAATATAAACAGCATAGCTTTTATTGAGATTTCCATGAAAAATAATTTCTATAACAACTTAAGCAAAACACACAGATACATTCTTTATATTAAACAATTCTTTAAACAATATAACATTGTGTGTTTCTGTTCAGAACTCCTGGTACCCCATCCCATTTCCCCTCATTTTAGTAATCAGCCATTCTGGACATCTTTCATTGTTGTTATTGTTTTCCTTCCCCCATTATATTATTTTCTTTTGCACCTCTGTTTCCTTGTAGCGTATGGGCGATGGTTTAGTTTCATAAGCTGATCAAAAGAAATGGGAAGAACACTTCACCATAATACAATTACAGTGGATAGGGTGGG